GAAGACCTTTAAGATCCTGGAGTCCAACCATAAACCTAACACTGCCAAGACCACAACTAAACCACCTTCCTAAGCTCCACATCTACAGGTGTTTAAAAACAAAGAGCCCCTGTGCAGTGTTTGCTGGCATGGCTGGGACACAGACCATGTCCTGCTCCCTCCTGTCCTACAGTGTGGGCTGGGCCAGGACAAGGAGCCCAGAACTGGCTGAGGTCTCTCTCCACTGAATGAACCCCACCTGGGGTGTTTTCTGATGCTGAGAGTTAACACAGAGCCATGCCTAGAACTGCTCTAGCTGGGAATATCTCACCTTGATAACACAGCACCCAGAGGGATGCAAATCCACAATGGACATTGCTTGGTTCTGGACATTGGGAAGTGGTTTCCATTTAAAACTAAACCTAGAAAGTGAGTAACCTCAGTGACTGTAACATTTACCCCACAGTCATTTAAGGACAGGAGGAGCCTAGAGGATACCCCATGTAATTGTGAGCTCAACATATTGGAGGACCACACAGGGATGAAGCCAGGAACAAATCTCTGGTAGCTGTTGCTCAAGCAACTCATTTTACATTTATTCCTCCTGCTGAGCCCTGTCCCAGCTTCCCTACCTGCTCAAGGGTGCTCTGCCAGAAAAGACTTACAAGGCTCAGTGACCCAAAATGTACCTGGTACCCTCCTGCAGCTCTTCATGTGTGTCAAGGGGGAGAGACAAGGTGACTGTTCTCCCAAAAGACAGTCTCACAAGGTCCCTGGAAACAACTAGCAATTGCAAATCATCCTGATTTCCCTTTTGCTGCAAGGAAGCATTGCACTTTGTACCTTCCAGTATCTGAAGGGGCTACAGGAAAGCTGGGAAGGGGCTTTTTGCAAAGGCATAGAGTGATAGGGTGAGAGGGAATGGTTTCAGACTGGAAGAGGGTAGATTTAGATCAGATATTAAGAAGAAATTCTTTGCTATGAGGGTGACAAGACCCTGGCCCAGGTTGCCCAGAGAAGCTGTGGCTGCCCCATCCCTGGCAGTGTTCAAGGCAAGGTTGGATGGGGCTTGGAGCAACCTGGTCTAGTGGAACCAGGTTGGGTGTGTTGAAACTACATGATCTAAAGGTCCCTTCCTACCCTAACCATTCCCCCCCTCATCCTGTCACTCCATTCCTTTGCAGAAAGTCCCTCTCCAGCTCTACCTGCCTGCCCTGGGCCATCCCAATGCTTTGCATGACAACATCTCACTTGTTTCCCCCTTCAGTCCTTGAACTTGCACCGTGTCACAGCAGGAGATGGAGCAGTGTAAGCAGCTTCCATAGGGAAACTTCTCTGATGACATTGAAGAGGCTGCTGAGTTTTCCATCTCCTTGGAAAGTGATTCTCCTTACCATGGTCGTCTCCATGAAAACCCTGATTGTGCTCAGCAGGGACGAGGTCTCGGCTCTTGGCGCTGTCGCCTCCCTGGGGAGTGTCAAGGACGTTCTTTGGGCTGGATTCCTGGAGGTTTTGTTGATTGATTTTTGCCTCCCTCTGGAGATTTCGCTTCAGCTCTGCCTGGGTTTGCAAACAAGTCATGAACAGCAGCAGCAGAGGAGCAAACACGTTCTAACAGCTCAGCTCAGCATTAGGGGGTTGGCACTGAAAATGATGAGCCAGTCGAGTAGTTTAACCAGGGCAAATGGTATTTGCCAAACTGGGTATGTGATAGAACATGACCTCGACAGAGATTTATTTTTTATTTCTCCATGGGCCGTGGCCAAATGAGGGCAAATCATTGCAAAGATCAGAAGTAATTAGTGATCACAGAGCCCCTGGGGATGCTTGCGACCTCACCTCTGCCTGAGCAGCCAGCAAAGCTTAATTTGCTCTTCCCACTAACAGGCTTTAAGCCTCCTGATCCATAGGAGAGACACCCAGCACGGGGAGACCCCCACCTAAGAGGAGAAGCCCCAGCCTCTCCCCAGACCCTCCCCAGTGTTACCTCTCGGCGCCTACGGGTCAAATCCAGCATCTGCAGCTTGTGCAAGTGCTGCCGCCTGCCTGGGGGGTGTCTCAGGCTTTGCCCCCTCTTCTCCACAGCCTGCAAGGTGTTTAAAAACATAAATACACCTGCATTTCCTGAAAGAGAAAGGAAGAGCCACCAGCAAACCCACACCCGGCCCCTGGGGCACTCCCCAGATCAAGGCAGGGAGCATCTCCCTGCATAGCCAACTTGCAGCAGTTAATCCCAGATTTCCACTGTGTTTGCAGTTTATCCCACAGCTCTGGGCCATGAGGGGGAAAAAAAAGCCTTCATTCAAACCATCTATACATGCTTCTACCTCCCGAGGTGTTACTGGTTGGAGTTGGATGTCCCAGATCATCTGGTGATCTGAATGGAGGAACCACTTTGGCACGCTTGGGGATGTTTATGACACAACCTTCTCCCTGCAAGGTGCAGGTGATGGGGTCCAAGTTGCTCAGCCATTTAAAAAAGGGATTCTCCAAAATATTTAGCCTCAAAAATATGTAAGGTCCTGGCTCAGCAGCTCTGCCTCATCCAGGGAACTGTCATGCTGCAGGTTCAGAGGTTTTCCTCTTATTTTGTGTCCTTTCACCCACCCTCTGGTGTTTCAGCTGGATCCAGGGCTTAGCCAGGGACAGAAGCACAGCTGGTGTAAAGCATCAGCTTCTGCTCCTTGGCTCTTTGAGGTGCCTGAACAGTGAGGGAAAGGAGCCTGAAGTCAGCAACAACCTGTTCACAGGGCTCAGCTCATGAGCTTACCTTCATCCTTGGGCTTGCAGCCACTGCTTGTTGACTCCAGGGCTTTGCAGGAGGGGCTTCTTGCAGAGGGGCAGCAGGTTCAAGCCACTACAAGTCCAATATTTATAATACTCAGCTTTTTTTTTTCCACGCAATCATAAAACCTGATATAAAACTACCTTCATATTTTTCCGGCTCCAATTCTGGCCTGGCTGCCTGGGATACAAGAAGGAGATGGCAGTCTCTAGCAGGGAGATGAACATCTCTTCAGGTGCTTGGGGGTGGACAAAACTGGAGGAATATCCTGCATTAGAGTCAAAGCAGCAAGACCCCAGTTTGACATCAGTTTCATCCCTGCAGGTATTTCTCTTTGAGCCTCAGCAATGCTCAAGACTTCAGCCAAGACCAGAGTGAAGACAAAGCCCTGCCTAGATTGCTTCAGGTTGAAGCTGGAGCATGGAGAGGTATCATCACCTGACAGAAGTCTCCCAGCAGGTCATCCAAGGGCAGAACCCAGGTACCTGAGACCCAGAGCACTGTTCCCTGCATCCCACCAGCCTCCTTTGTCTGGGCCTGAGTATGATTTTTCTCTGCAGGCCTGTGCATGGTGCACAGTGCCCTTCTGAGTGGCTAATGGAAGTGAGCAGAGACTTTCCTTACAGACTGCTTTGACCATGGATTTTTATCTTGGGGACCTTAAACTGTACCAAACTATGAGATGATACTGGGTCATTTTGTGGTTTGATATTTCCTGTGTCCCCTTCTAGGAGAGGAACTCAGTCCAGCTTCCATAAAATTAGGGGGAATATCATCAAGGACTTAATCAGTAAGAGTTATGCTTTAGATGGAACATCATTAACCTCTTAAATATGAACAGGAGTGTCCTCTAAGAAAGGGGAAGAAAAGAAAGTGGTCCAGAGAAGAGCAATGGAGCTGGGGAAGAGTTTGGAGCTCAAGTCTGACCAGGAGCAGCTGAGGAAGCTGGGGGTGTCCAGCCTGGAGACAAGGAGGTGAGGGGAGACCTGCTGGCTCTGCAGCTGCTGAGAGGAGGTTGGAGCCAGGGGGGTCGGGCTCTGCTCCCCAGGAACAAGGGATGGGACCAGAGGAAATGTCCAAGTTGCACCAGGGAAGGTTTAGATTGGATCTTGGGAACAATTTCTTCCCCAAGAGTGTTGTCAGGCCCTGGCCCAGGCTGCCCAGGGCAGGGGGGGAGTCCCCATCCCTGGAGGGGTTTCCAAGCCTGTAGATGTGGTGCTGAGGGACATGGGGCAGTGGTGGCCTTGGCAGGGCTGGGGGAAGGGTTGGACTTGGTGATCTGAAAGGTCTTTTCCAACCAGAGTGATTTTTTGATTCTTTGATTTGAAATGGTGAGAAGGCTCTGGGTGTCTGCCTGGAGCTGCTGCCAAAGCCTGAGATGTGATTTTGAAGCATCTTTTAAGTCAATGTAATAACATGGGTGGAAAAAAAAATAAAAAATCAGCAGCATCATGTCAAGGACACAACCCCCGTTAGCCCCAAATGCCAAATTCACATGTGTCTCAGCATCCAAAAAAACCACAAAACTGAATATGAGGCTTCAGAAATGTCACTAGATGGCAGCATGTGACACCACAAACCATGGTCTGGGGTGTGCATCCCTCCCAGGGGCCACCAAGGCAGCCAGCAGGGGTGGCTGAGGGCAGATCAAGTATCAGCTCATGTCACTGCCCCCAGCAGGGAAGCCAAGTTCCAGGGTTTCAGCTAAAGTTGTGTCACAGCCTGGAAAACTGACTCTTTTCCTTCATCTCCCAGTAACCTCACAGGATTTTTCTCTGGGAATTCTCCATGACCAAAACCCTCTAAAAGCCCCTGAGAAGGCCACATCACCCTGCTCAGCTGCCTTTGAAAACATTCCTGCAGGGAAAAGGGCTTTTGTTGGTGCTGTTTCAGATTCCCTAAGAGCACTGGCAGAAGCACAGGGTAGGATGAAGTGCTGTTGTCCTGCAGTGAGTATGATCAGTGCTTTAATAATGCATAAATCCAGATGTAATGGAAATAAGGTCAAAGATCAAAAATTACATGCTGGTAGGAGATTCTTACATGAGGCTGCAATTCCATGTGACAGTTCACCAGGTGCAGCTGGGCTCATTCCAGGTGCTGCTCCCTCACACTCCCACCAAATCCAGGGACATCTTATTTGCTAGTTGATGGCCACCTGCACTCTCTGAAGCCACCAGACTTGGCCACAGCCACAGCCTGGGCTTCAACTGCCCCTGTCTGGTGGCTTCTCTGTTATTTGTTATATTAAAAAGACCTTAATCACAGCAAGGAAGGCTTGTGCCAAGGTTTGCTGTTGTGGGACATGTGCAGAAAGCTTGTCACCACATTTTGGGAGAGTGGAGATGCTTGAGAGGAAATCTCACGGTAGCACAGGGAGGATGTTCACCCAACGATTAATGAATTAATCAATGACAAGAGGTTATATAGGTGGCTGGAAAGGAAGATGATCCATGGGAGCTGGTCCAAGCTGCACCCAGTGCTGGGGTGACCCAGCACCTATGGGAGTGCTATGGAGAAGAACATGGTCAGCTCTTCCATGGGTTAAACAGCCAAGAAGTGTCTCTGTTTGTCCCCAAGCACTGAGGACTCCCTCCAGCTGCCTAATTAAGCTGCTGATTTGGCCCACACAGCTGGGCTCTCTTATAAGGGTCTCAGCAGCAAGTACATTGGCCCTCAATTGCTAATTAAAAGTCCTGCCTAAATGAGAACGATAGGGGTGGGGGAAATTTCCAGAAGCTGGGCACTTCCATGAGCAGGATATTCTGCTGTACCTGTGGTTGGAGGTATCTGCTCAACTAGTCCCCTTTCTCTGCCTGATTTTATTTATCTGAGCCCTGTTTACTCTCTGGTTTGGAGCCCCCACAGCTGGGCCAAGCAGCAAAGAAATGCAGCTGAAAGCCTCAGGCCTGGGGCTCTGAAGGAGAAAGATCTGAGGAGCTACATGGGGGAGCAGCAGTTCTGGGGTATCCAGAGCAGGACTAAGGTTGGTGCTCCCCAGGGTCCTTCCCTGACCCTCTGTGGATGTAGGGAAGGAGGGAGAACTCCATCTTGGCCAAACACCCCGATCTTTGCATCTCAACTATTGAACAGGTAAGAGATGGGGAGCTGGAAGCTATTGCTGGCTGGTTTGGGAGGGTGTGAAGAAGCAATGATAATGCAGGTGGAGCACAGAAAGCAGTGAGCTCCTCTGGGCTTGGGTTTGAAATCACCTGATGCTGGGCAAGAATTGTACAGCCCCAGAAATGCAGCTCCAGCTCAGCCCTGGGAGCATCTGGGGGCCTGAGCCTCACCCAGGTTTTGCATTGTCTAAAGGAATCAGTGCATGAAAATATCAGCACAGAAAATGCATGTAAAGGGCTTTTTGTCCCTTTTTTTAAAAAAAAGTGATAAGAACTCTAACCCTTGTGTGGCATCATGCACTAGTGGTAGTTCCTTTCCTTCTTTGCAGTAAATTGTGTGGATATAAATGTATTTTGGGAGCTTTAGTTAGGTTGTGGTAAGTCTTGTGTGGGGAAGAACCTGCTTGGCAGGTCAGGCATGTCCTGGATTTCAGGGCTTTGAGGGGAAAGATGCTGGGAAGGGGATGGAAAGGTCATGGAGGAGTGAACAAGGGGTTTTTGTGGGCTTTGGGGAGGCTTTTTTATGTATTTGGATAGCCTGGTGTGTGTGTGCATGTGTACAGACAGTGCTATGGAGGGGAGAAGGTGAAGATACATGTAGGCACACAGCAGGCTCAGCAGGGCTTGAGACCTACACTGATGGCTCTGTGTGTTCAGCAGCCCCTGCTGCAAAGCACCTCTGGCTGCCTTCCCTGCCCCTGAGCTGCTGCCAGAGCTGGGTGGGATATTTGGCTTGAAGAGCTAAACCCAGCCCCCTGTGATACCAGTTGGATCCCTTCTGCCAAGGGCTCTCTCCTGGCATAGAATGGTTTGGGTTGGAAGGGACCTTCAAGATCACCTAGATCCAACCCCCTGCATGGGCAGGGACACCTCCCACCAGACCAGGCTGCTCCAAGCCCCATCCAACCTGCCCTTCAACACTGCCAGGGATGGGGCAGCCACAGCTTCCCTGGGCAATCTTGGCCACATTAGCCCCATGGTGACCCTGAGGTTTGGCTGCAGGCACCCAGACACCAAAAGGGAAATGAATCATTACATGAGAGGGGGCCTCATGGCCAGTGCTGGGACATGTGTCCTCGTTGGGTGTCTCCACAGCACATGTGGACCAGTCAGGCATGATCCATGGAGTTAGACAGGTGGGTAAAGCAGGGGCTTGCTGCAGTGGTCCCTCTTTGGCTGTTCTTAGATGAAGTCCTCACCCTTGTGCTGATGAACCAAAAGTGACCTGTCTCTGGTCAACATACCTGCTCTGCCCAGGATATCAAACTTGGGCTGGTGATAAAGATCATCTAGGGTTTATCACCTGGAGATAGGACCTCCTACTGGCATTGCTGTAGGATGTTTGTTTTCCCCACCATGGTGCCCATGTCCCCAAGGATGCCCATGTCAAACAGGTCAATCAGGGCAACTCGTAGGGAGCTTTTCAAACTTGTCTTACTTGAGGTCTTCGAGGTGGGTGCTGTTTAATGATGCTGGTTTCTCCCTTTTCCAGGGTGGTGTTGAAAGAAAGGGGCCCTTAAAGATTAGAGAAGAAATGAAGTTACTTTTAGGTGATCATCAGCTGCTAGGCTGTACTCAGCAATAGTTCTCTGCCCTTGTTTTTTGGTTGATGCCCTGCTACTGCCCTCTCACTGTACCCCAGCAACATGTGGTGGCAGTTATTCTATTAGCTGCAGAAATACAGGGAGGATGTACCTGAGCCTCTGGTTCCTAGCAACTCTCTGCCATGGACCTCTCCTACTTCCCTCTACAACCTCTTGTGCATCCTATCTATGACAATAACCACCCTCCATGTCTCCTGTTGTCCCTCTGAGCTTCTAAAATGGAAAACAGGCAGCAGTTTGCATCTCTTCTTGCTGCTCAGTCCCTGGGACTTATTGTTATTTTTTGATGGAACTGAGAAACATCTCTGATGTTTCTTGATGGCATCAGGACTGGGCTACAGCCTGCCACTGCCACTACAGTGAGTTCTAGAGTCAGTGGGTTATGGATAGAGAAGCAGTAGAATCAGACCCTCATCCCATGGAAATCAGCCCAAAATAATGTGTTATGAACCTCTTAGCTATTAAAGTGCTTTCACTGTGACCTGAGCTCTGGTCCATTCTGCTCTGGTGCTCTCTGCTTCTTTCCTCTCTTGCACAAATAAATGCTCGGATGAACAGGAAGTATTTCTGTTAGAAAATAACTTATCTGCCCCACCTGTTCTCCCAAAAAAACCTGTGTTGGTTTGTTTCAGGTGCCATTTGCTATGTGGAGCTGAGCAAGGTGTTGCTGAGCAGCTCCTGCTCCCGTGGGGTGGGAGCCCCAAGGTGGCTGCAAGGGGGGAGAGTTGGGAATAAAGGGCAGGACTTTCATTATAGTTGATGTCAAATTTAATAGTTATATGAAGAAGGAAGGTAATTATTTGGAGGTCACCTGATGGAGGACTTCAGTGGTCCCTTTAAATGAGCCCTGTGGGAGATTGCCAAGGCAGGGCTCGTGGAGAGCAGAGAGGGAGAAGGTGATGGAGGGAGGAAGGGCATAGGAGGAGATGGTGATTCCATTGGATCAATGATTGTTGGGCTCTGCTGAGCACCAGCAATGATTAACCACTGAGCCAACCCCTGGCTGCTCTGCACATGCAGGAAAGGGCCCCTGAAGTGATCATTGCCAGCTCAGGAGGCTCCTCTGGAGATGAACTTCAGCTGCTGGGGAGCACACAGGGGAAGAACAGCTCGTTATAGCAAAAGGGGGGTTATGAAGTTATTGCCTCTCAATCTGCAGGACTAATTAGCACAGAAAGAATTTCTAAGGGGGGGGAAGTAAAATGTAAGGAGGTGGCTCAGAGTGCTGGGAATGTGGGACACAGCACAGGCAAGGAGCTGGGGCTTGGGAGAAGCTTGTTCTGGCAAGATGTGTGGCTTTGAGGAAATCAGTGATCCCTTCTGAGATTCTTAAGAAAATATGTTAAATTATTCCCTCTCTATCCGTGCATGTGTCTTGCAGGAGTTTGCACTTATTCTCTACAGGTCCAGGGTTGGGAGCCAAGTGCTCACTGTGTCCAAACCTGCTGGGGTCCTGGGGCAGGGAGGGATGGTCCCTGGCACATCCAGGTGATGCTGGCAGGGAAGGACTGATGTCCCACCACACAGGAGGGAAAACAGCCCACAGGGCCCAAGCTGAAGTAAATTGTGTGATTTTTTTGGTTTTTTGACCCTTGCACTTCAGCAGCAGCAGATCTTTCCTGCTGGAGGAAGCAGGATTTAACACAAAGCCAGGATGAATCCTCATAAACCAAATAAACCCCATTCTCTTGGAGGCTTTGCTTATTTAGACAGCAGCTCAAGCTGATCCATTGCTCAAGTGCCCTTGAGCATACTCTTCTTATTCCTGAAAATGAGAAGTACCAGCAAATTACATTTATTGAGTGGGGTTTTTTTAATAAAAGTACACATTTTACAAGCACTTGTTAAATACCCTGTGATGATAATTTTCCAAAACTGGAATATTTAGTTTTTCTTGCTGTCCTGAAGTACTTGAAACCCTCTGTTGCACAGTCAGACCTCATCTGTAGTCACCCTGGGACCTCTGGCTCTGGGAGCATCATTGTTGTGCCAGAGGTTTATTTGCTTTCATCATCTCCTGGTGCCTCTTGGTGGATGATCCTGAAGGAAATTTCCAGCCCCTGGTGAAGCAGCAGGACTTAAAGCTGCTCAGCATGTGTCAGAAATTCATTTTTGGAAATGGGAAAGAGGAGAGGAGGGTGCTTGGGCTGTAGAACCTCCTTCCTCTGCATTGACCTTCCTGCAACCATGTTGGTGTTCCTGATGGTTTCACCCTCCTCCCTCCTAAGGTGTTCATGGGAGGCTGCTGGTCACCATCCAGCTCCATACAGAGCTTTGTCTCCACTTCCAGACGGGTGCAAGCCTCCCTCCTCACCTCCAGGGAGGGTTTGGAGTGGTCTGGGTGGATGGAGTTTAAACCCTGCTGTGAGAAGCTGCAGGTCAGGGTGCAAGATTCTGTTTGTAGAAAAACCACCCCCAGCTGCACCTGCCTCTGCCTCTTGGCTCATGAAATAAGTCCTGTGTGAGACAAGGCTATAATTTGGTTTAATGCTCCATTTTACCTGCTGAGCATATTACCAAGAGTCTAATTTTAATTAAGCTAATGAGACTGATATGGTCAGTGGTGGCACCTGAGCAGGACAGGTGTGTAACTGGGAGTTGAGGGGCTGCTGCTCCCAGCAGGACCGTTGGTAGAAATCAGGGGCCTGGGCTCTGGTGACTGGGAGGCTTTCTGAGACAAGTTGTGGGGGGAAGGAAAGGAAAGGGGAAAGAGGAAAGGAAAGGGGAAAGAGGAAAGGAGAGTTTTCCCAAAGCTAAAATGCCCAGAGCTGCACCCACATCCCCAGCTGCAGCCCTGTGGGTCCCCACCCTATGCTTTGCCATGATCAGGTGATGATCCCCTTACCTGCAGAGGTTCTGCCATACCAGGGCTCCCGGAGAGGTGGAAGTTGCTGGGGACAGGTGAGGTTTCCCCACTCTGCCATGGTCTGTGAGTGCAGGTTGGGCTCTCCAGACATCCTGGGGAGCTGGTGTGGAGCAGGGAGAGCAGGCAGGTCCTCCCTGGGGTGCATCGGTGCCACCTTGGTCACCTTGGGGTGTGCCTTGGAAGAGCTCAGGCCCATTTTCCAGAGCAGTGGCTTTGAAAAGAAAAGGAAAAGCCCCTTGTGCAGGGGTCCATTCAGGAAGGACAGTGGAAGTGACCGTGGTTCTCTGGAGTTCCCTGCCAGCTGCTGGAGCTGGTTCCCACCAATGTGCCCACACGTCCTTCCTGGCTCAGTTAAACATTGACCTGGTCCTGGCCATTCCCCCAGGGGGATGGGAGGTGGCTGCTGCTGACAGAGGAGCAGAAAGCAGTTCAGGAAGCCAGCATCAAGCCCTGGGCAAGGTTTTTTTTTTTTTTTTTTGTACCTACAAGTGATTTTCAGCCAGGGGCACCACCTCAGCTGGCAGCTGGCTGACCTGGATGTATTTCTACAAGCAGTTGTTTTGCTAAACCTTCTATTTCTAGAAGGAAAATCAATCCCCAGAGCACCAGAAGGGTAAAAGTATCTCCCACTCTGCATGGCAGAAGCAGCCTGGGGACAAGGCCTGGCTGAGGAGCATCCTCTGCCCTTGCTCCTGCTGGCTAGTGGCATCAATGGGGGGTGGGGGGAAATGCAACTTTAGCACAAAACCACCTGAAAACATCAGCCAAAGTGCTTATATTCTGCAGCAGGATTTGGACCAAATGCAGCAGGGTTGGTGCATAAGACAGGGGTCTACACATCTCCATGGTTCTTCCTTTCCATTCCCAAGGTGTATGAGGACAACATGGCTTCCTTGGAGCTGTAGGGAGTCACTTACTCATTTCCAAAGTGGAGTGGTTTGAAACTATGTAGGGAGGGTTATTTCTGCAAGAAGATGACTATGGCAGGAGTGGGGCTGCAAGAGGAGGGCAGAGCATCTGTGGGCTCCACTGCACAATCCCTGGAAACCAAAGAGCATGGAGTGTGAAAGGGAGAGGCTAAAATGGCACCAGAGCCAGCAGCAGCTCTTCCCACTGGGATCCCAGGAGTGATCCTGTGTAGGAAATGGGGCCTCTTTTGGCTTTTCCCTTGGGAAATGAGAGCTGGGAGGAGGGCTGTGCGGGGAAATGCAGGTCATGGAAGAGCCACACATCCAGCACTCGTGGCCGGTAGATCCATGGATAAACCACTGGGCACTCCCTTGATGGGGAGGTTTGGAGCTGCAAAATGCCACTGGCCAGGGGTGGCACCTCCCAGAATAAATTATTCATCCCTGGAGCAACCCAGCTGGTTCATGTTTTTGGCTGCAAAGCACCAACATCCTTCATGACTTTGCTTTGCAACAGGTCACCAGGGAGCAGAGGAGTTTGGGTGTTTTCTTCTTTTCAAATCAACATATGAAACCAACACCCTGCTTCCTTCCTGAGCTTCTCAGCACTTCATACTTCTTTTTCCATTTATTTTCCCTTCCCCCTCCCCTGCTGAGAACAGGTCATTCCTGTTAAGCAGCTTGGGAAAACTGAATTCAATGCAACAACAGGTGTCAGAGCATTGGAAAACTCACAGATGTTGAAGCTGGTGCCCATGGTGCTGTATCTGGGTGTTTCACCCAAGTGTGATGCTGTGGCCCTGGCCCTGATGAAGACCTGGCAGGGTCCTCCTGCTCCCTGTGCCACTAAATCCCTGTCCTGCTGAGGTTTCTTTCAAAGCCATAAGGGTGTCCCCACCTGCTGTGTGATGGCACCACAGCCCATCACACAGTGATGTAGGGAAGGAGATTGTGAAGGGACGTGTACTTCATGTTGATATTTCCCCAAGGTCTTCATCTCTGGGTGAAGAGATGCTCCTCTTTGCATTTGAAGGTGATGCAGTGTCCTCCTGGCTGGTTCATGAGAGCTGGGTCCCACCTCCTCTGGTACAAGGGTCCAAGGGTGTTTGTTAGCCTGGCAGCCACTGTCAGCTGAGGACCATTATCTCTCAGAATATCCCTAAAAAAAACTATGTCTCTGTGCACTTTTGAGCTACACTTTGCTCTCTGCATGCCTGTACTTTGTAAAGCAGGGAGGGCCAAGGGGCTTTGGGGTTGGGTCAGAGGGGAGGAAGGCTTGCTGCAAAAAATGCCCTTCCTGCAGGTCTCTGGGGCAAACAGAGAGCAAGTTTGGGGTTGAACTGAGTCCCAGGAGCTCCCATGGATACTGGAAGAGACTCCCAAATGTTATTACTTGCAACTGCTCTGCCAAAATCACCCCTTTGCACCTTGACCTGGGCTACGTAGACTGTGGCTGTGCAGGGTGTTGTGTGGGTGCAGGAGAGGGAGCTGGGTGAGCTGTGCATGTGCAGTGCTGGAGGTTGTGGTTATTGGCATCATTTTGACCTGGTTAGCTCAAGATTGAGCGGTGACCTGTGCTAACCCCCTTGCTTAAACCTGTTTAACACCAGCCAAAGGTATTTGAAGGGAGAAGGATGGGATGAGGTATGTTAGGGCTTCAGGCCAGCTTCATCACTGCCTTCCTGGTGATGAGGAGCTCATCCTTTTCTTTAACTCGAGGGTTGCTTAATCTGTATTTAAGGTATTTTATCTGTATTTAAGGTTCAGTTTGAATCCCAAGCTCTGTGCCATAGAAACATGGGGCAGGAAGGAGCTTTACCCCCATGCACTACTGTTAGGGAGAGCATGTGGTCCTTCCAAGGAGAGTTGGAAGCTCTTTATCCCTTCCTCCAATTTCATTTATTCCTTGAAAACCCTCCACCAAATTCAGATGGAACTTCTAAGTGACATTGATTTTGCCAAGATTGGATTTCCCAGCAAATATATTGTAGTCAAAATGAAGCCATTGATCTCTTAAGTGTTCAGATGCCCTTCTTTTAAGATAGATACCAGGAAAAGCTCCAGGGCAGGGCAGTGCCATGACTTGGGGCTGGGCATTTTCCTGCAGGGGAGCAGAGTGTTGCCCATCTGTACGTGGCACAGGTGAACTAAGGGGGGGGGGGGGGGGGGAGGGGTCAGCACAGTCTGAGATCCAACAGCAACAGTCGATTTTCTCTGCCTTAGAACTTCTCTTTAAGAGTTTGAAATTGCAATAATCACAGGGACAGGAGGAGATGGAAAGTGGGCAGCAGTGATTTTTGCAAAAATCGTGCCTGGACTTTCTGCAAATCTCCAGTGAGCAAAGCAGAAGAAACCATGAGGGTGTGACCAGGCTTGCTGTTCATTGTGCTTGCAACATGTTCAGCTGGTGATAGCACAGAGCAGGGAAGAGGAAAATAATCCAGCACTGTCCCACGGGCTGCCATAGGCACTGGTGTGACAAATAGAGCCTGTTGTTACAGAGCTGTGAAGTTGTTTCCTCCCTCTGCTGCTTGTCACTTGCACTAACAGGGAATGTTCACCTTGTCCCAGCCACGAGGACACGGGTGATGCTGAGATAACATTGTCCATGGTGCCTGGTTGCTGAGCCCTCCTGAGTGATGGTGTGTGGGTGGCAGTTGCTCCAGAGGGGTTATTCCCAGCACGTTTTGTTTTCCTTCCAGAGAGCTGGGCCCTGGAGTGAAGGACAATCTGATAATGCAGCAGCCAGATCAAAACTGGCATTTTCCTTGGGGTGCAAAATGAGATGGTGCAGCTGAAGTGAAGCCCTCAGGTTGCTGGAGATGGTAGAAGGGCTCATCAGAGACCCTCACAGATGTAACCACATCTGATTGGTCACTTGACAGGTGTGATTATGGGTTTGCATTCCTCTGATGGATCACGAACGTGGTCCTGCAAAATAGCCTCTGTTTATTGTCTGATTTCTTGGGCTTGATGGGTTTTCTCTGGCTGAAAGGCTGAGCTGTAGGGGAAACAATTCCCTTCCTTGCTTCATAAGGAAGATAATGGACAGATAGAGCAGCAGGTGCATGAGGGGACTCCAGTGAATTGCTGAGCAGGATGAGAACCCCCAGAAAGCATCTGGCTTGGGTTGGGTCAGATGATGTCTGGTAAGCCTGATGTGAGGTGTAAGGTGGCTGCTGGGCTCAGAGCTATGTGTCTTCTCTCCCTGTAGAAACATGAGGGTGATCACTGGTCCCTGGGGACAGGACATGCACAATGGCTGCTCGTGGAGAGTGACAGGCTGGCACTGTGACACACTGTGCCCCTGGCCATGCAACATGTCATCCAGGGGAAAACTGACTCAAACGTGGGTATTTCTCATTATTTCCCTGCTGAATAACTCCATGAGGTTTCTTGATAGATTGAGTCTTGGGTCTGCAGGTGCTGCCATGAGGCTGCTTGCCAAAATCTACTCATCAATGCACCCTGAAAGGAAATGTTTGGTTTTCCTACATGTTAAGTTTGGCAGGAACTAACATTTGAGTAAAATATATCTCCAAGACTATCTAGTAATGGAAATGAAGATATTGACTCCAAAATCAACTTGGGGGGGGGGGAGGTGCCCAGGCTGCCATGTGCTATTTGCACTCAGCCAGATTGTCCCATCAGTATCCCCTGTTTCATGTAATTAACTTTTCTGGAATCTTTTTCATGTCCAGCTCCTCTTGAAAACAGCAGGTGAGAAGCTGAGCCCATCTTCCCAAATGCTAGAAGTGACTTTTAAAAGGCTTCAACCTTACACCTCTGGGTCTAGTGCAAAGGGGAAAGGGTTGGTTGGGTTGGTTTCTGCAGCTGTGTGATGAAAGGGCCCAAGTTTGGGTTTTTGTTTGTTGTTGGTTTTTTTATTCATAGAATCACCAAGGCTGGAAAAGACCTTCAAGACCATCAAGTCCAGCCTAACACCACCACATCAACTAGACCATGGCACTAAGTGCCACATCCAGCCTTTCCTTGAACACCTCCAGGGACCACCACTCCACCCCTTCCCTGGGAAGACACACAGGTATTTTGTTAGGTGTCCTGCTCACGTGGAACAGTTGAGACATGAATGTTAAAAGATAAAAAAACACTAAATAGAACAGAGTCCAATAAAAAGGTGCTTCTGATACTACTGACATGAATTGCTTTGTTACCAGCAGCACTAAGGCCTAATGGCCATGGGGGACACTCTGGCTGCCTGTCACCCTCCAGCACCATCACTGCCACCTCTGCTTGTGTATCTGATAGCAAAGACTTCCTTTCTGTA